TTCGCTGCACGCCGCTCATCTGAGCGTGATCACTGTTTTCGGCATGTACAAACTTCTAAGGAATCCTTTTAAGTTTAGCTTCTTTGTCTCTGTGATTCCGTATTGGAATTCCCTGCCTCCATCCTAGTCAAATAGCAAATTCACAACTTTTTCCGCTGCGATCCGCAGTGTGGATCTACGGACTTGATCCACTCTCTCCATCTCGTTATAGTCTCCAGGACTTTTGAGATTATCACTTATGAGGATGAGGTTATGAGTTCGACAAGCAAATAGAGAAATAAGAAAGAGAGAGAGATATATATAGACGAGGGTAGCGGACGTGTGCGTGCGTGTGCGTGCGTTTATGTTTCGTATTTCTGTAAAATATCACAACGTTGTGTATGCGTCTTAACGTTGTTGACAAATATCCAATATAACAGAATGATGGTAAAAAACTCAAATAAATTGAAATTACTACGTATAATATTTATAGTAGAGAACGCAACTTCGGCGAATATTTTATATGTAAGCTGTCGATAGTAATAGTTCTCTCATCATTGCATATGAGCCTCATATAGTGTATCTGTTAATCTTAATTTTACGCTGCGTGTCGACATAAAACTTGAATGGATAACACGCTAAGTAGAGAGACAGCTTTTTGTAATAATGTGTGTCGTCTTGATCTGCGTATAGAGTCTGTGAGTTGAAAGTATTTTGCAGCCGCCGCGGTCACACATTGTCACATTCCACGTTTTACCCAGAATTACATGCATGCCAGAAAGAAAAAAAGAAAATTTATAGTACGATTAGCAATATTTTATTATTCAAAATTCTATACAAACATACATATAATTATGCGAAATTGACTTGTTCGTATTTACCCTGATAGGATGTTTTAAAGTAAAATGGTTGGCAGTCACCTTGCTTACAACGTGTGCTTTATTGTTACAATTTTTTCTGTACAAGCATGATAGTAAGTACATATTAGAACTAGTCAACACTCATTGATCACATACAAATATTTACTGCCTCATATGTCCAATAAGTAATATGCTTATAGTATACATGTACGCTATAATAACACGAATATATCGATACGTATTTGATGTGGATACTTTTGGCGGTAGCCAGGTTCAAAGTCGCGCACATATACGTGATGACACATATGTCGCTATTGTCCTCCT